AACCGCCCATTCGTTGGGCGGAAATGAGTAAATTTAAAGGGAACCGCCCATTGGAAGGGCGGCAGTGACCAGACCTAATTTCATTATTTTTTTTTGTCTTAAAATATATTTTTAAATATTAATATATATAATTATTATTATATATTATTATAAAAATAGATTAATAATATAAATTTTAATATATGTTAATATTAATAATATTAATATATATTAATATTTATATTAGTAATAATATAAGTATTAATATATATTATTATAAATATATCTTAATATATATTTTTAAATATTAATATGTATTATTATTAATATATATTATTATCAATATATATTATTATCAAAATAGATTAATAATATTAATTTTAATATATATTAATATTACTAATATTAATATATATTAATATTTATGTCATTAATAATATAAGTATTAATAATATTAATAATAACGACTAATATTAACTAATATTAATTAATACATGATGATTAATAAAAGGACTAACGACTACTTGTTCCCACATTGGGACACCGGGTGCGATTGTGTCCCGTTTGACGACACATGGAACATTTCCTCTCAAGCTTATCAAAGTTATCCATTTCTGTTGTAATACGTGTGCTTACAGGGCGACCTTTCTTGTTCCTCCGCATTCTTGGGTTATGGCAAATTTGATCTCCTTCATAAACAGGCCAATATTCATCGCATGGCATCACTGAAAAGCTTGTGCTGTAAACCCCAAATAGGTTTGTAACCCTATAAACTTCGGACAAAAGAGCGTAAGCGTCGTGACACACATTCGAACATGCAGCGATAACATGTGAGCAAGGGACACGAAATGCTTGAAACTTTCCGCAGTCACACCACCCGTTCAAGAGGTCGACCTTATAATGTCCCACAGGTTTCCCCTCACCATGGTCCATTGTCTCTTGCACACTGAAAACATTGTTCCTGTAGTCAAAAATTCTGACTTGATGCGTGCTGGATTTTGTTGTTTCTTCTTTCATAACCTTGAGGCAGTTGTTTGTAAATGTTTGGCCAGAATTCAACACAGCACTCCACTTTCCACCCCTTTCAGCAAATAAAGATCCTAGTCTATAATACGTTGCCCTTACCAATGCCGTAATGGGCAAATTACGTGTGCCCTTAAAGACGACATTCATTGACTCGACAAGGTTGGTAGTCATGTGACCCCAACGTCGACCGCCGTCAAATGCCCTTGTCCATTTTTCGGCTGGAATACTGTCAATCCACCTTAAAGCATCTGCATTTGCCATGCCAATCTTCTTTCACTATTTTGAGGAAGATGATGTATTGTTTCTAGTCCCTTATTTTCTTGCTAGCACTTTCCATATTTTTTTCTCTAATCCCTTTTTAATTATGTTATAGTTTCTATGGAGACCCTATCTTGAACTTGAAGATGAGGATCCAACTGAAAGCGATATGTGGAGTTCTACAACATTCATAATTTCTTTCACTATTGTTGAAATGCATCATTCAGATAGGGTGAAACTCCAATTCGGAATTAAACAAGACATTCCTGGTCCACCTACATGCATGGATACGTACCACAAGAGTGCAGCGAACGACCAATGGAAATTCGATGATTGGAGAGACCATAATAGACAAGAACGACAACAATGGATGGATCGTCGCCGCACTATTCTACGAGGAAATGTCATGGATGCCGAATGTAAACCAAGTAGAGAATACATGACTTGGTATAGATCTGTGACCAATTTGTATCTATCACAAAATAGATTCTTGTGGGACCCTCGAAACCAACCAACTTCATCAAACTTCCAAAACACCCCCTCCATGACTTATGACACCCAACCACCAATATTTAACACCCCACAACAAATATTTAACACCCCATTCAACCCAAACCCAACACAACCACCTTATACCCCGAGCCAACACTACAATCAACCTTACACATCATTTAACCCAAACCCCTTCAACATCCAACAACAAAACCCAACCTCATCATACACCCAATGTAACCAATTCTCATTCTCTCAACCTACCCAACAAGAACATAACTACCAAACACCCCAACCACAAGTTCCTTTTTACCCTTCACAAAACTTCACCCTTTCTCAAGACCAACATCCATACACCCCCTACATGACTAACGCGGCGCCACCTATAAACCCACCAACTTGGAGTAACGAGGGTACAAGATTAAGTTATGGAAGTGCGACAGCGATACCATGTGATGACGATTTCAATGATGATTTGGTCGCTCAATTCATGAACCCTAACAATGATGCAGGTCCATCTACGCAGACCCAAAACGCTGAGGTTGATCGTAGAAGGTCCACCAGAAATGTACAAGCTCCTGCCTGTGGAACCCACCAACGCTTACGTCGACCGGGCCAAAATTAATTTTTAGTTCATTTATTTTTATGTACTATTTTTATTTCAAGAATAAATAAATTTTTATTTTAGTTTAATTATTGTATTATATTTCACTGTATTAATTTATTTTAATTAGTAATATCTTTAAAATAATTATTTCTATTTTACTTTTATTTTAAATTACTATAATTATTTATTTAATAATTATTAACTAAATATAATCAACATAATAAACAAAAAAATAATGTAATAAATATACTAAATATAATATTATCTATTTAATAATTATTTTATTTTAAAATTTATTATTTATAATTACGTAATTATTTTTTATTTTAAAATTATCTATTTATAATTATTTTAAAAATAATTATTTATAATTAATTAAATATAATAAATAAAAACGAAAATTAAAAAAAAATTAGACCCTCTACCGCCCAATGGATGGGCGGTTCCCATCAAAGAATCCAACAGTGCCGCCCAATGGATGGGCGGTTATGTTGTGCCAAAAAATTTATTTTTTTGAAAGTATGGCATTTTGGTATTTGTTTGTATAAGTGTGGCATTTTGGGGTTTATGTTCTAATAGTAGGGCAGGAATGTAAAAAATTCAAGATTCGATGACTTAGTGTATACATATTTTAATTTTTTTATTTGTTTAAAATATCAAAATTAAATCTAAACCGTCTGATATGCCAAATGTGTGACTGTATGTTTCTCTATCATCAGGGAAACTCAATCCATTGTCACTCCATTTAAGAACCGGAGAGATTTATCTTAGACCAACTCTAAGGGTCTGTTTGGTTCAAATGAGGGGGAGGGGAGGGGAGGGATTTTAATGAAGGGGAGGGGAGGGGAGGGATTTTTTTAATCAAATAAGTGTTTGGTTCAAAAGAGAGGAGGGGAGGGGAGGGGAGGGATTTTAATAAAAAATGTGTTTGGTTCAGAAGGGGAGGGGAGGGGTTTTATTAATAATTTACATTTTTATCCTTATGATCTTATATAAGTCATATGATATTAAAATGTGAATAATTCGTGCGTATTTTTGTTGATAATAAAATTTCTAATATTGAGTGATTAAAAAAGTATTTATTTGTCACATAAAGTTAAAAAAATTGAGTACAATTGATTCAACTTATAACTTTTCAACATAAATTAAACTATATGCTAATAACATCGTTTAAATTGTGATGAATCATATAACAAAACAAATATATAAAATAACTTATTACTAAGTATTAATGGTTCAAAATATTTAATAAAATGAATAAACAAAAATAAATAAAATGATATGATTTACAATTTGATATAAAAAAAATGATAGAGTACATAACAAAATTAAAAGAAAAAAACGAATATAACGAAACATAATTTTTTTATATAAAAAAGACAATGATTATGATTTATATTAATTATAAAAATTATTAAATAATTTGAAGGTGGAGAACAATTATAATAAGTTGATGAAAACAATCGAGAAAAAACAGTAACACAAAAGAAAACAAATAGTTTTGAAATACTGAAATTAAACTAAGGATATTTTAGTAAATATAATAATTTTTAAATATCAAAACTCATATTCCCTCCCCTCCCCTCCAAATCCCCCCAATTCGGAGGGAACCAAAAAGTGTGTTTTGGAGGGATTTTGCTCCCCTCCCCTCCCCTCCCCTCCCCTCCTAAAATTTGAACCAAACATATTTAATTAAAAATTTCCCCTCCCCTCCCCTCCCCTCCCCTCCATCTACCCCGAACCAAACACACCCTAATGGGAGTTCTTAGAGTGGGTTTGCCAACATGACACTTATATTTGTTGTTTCCAAGATTGCCATGTTGTTGAACGGTGCTTAATTAAGCAACGGTTCTTCAACTGTTCTTATATTAAAATATTAATTTTATAATATAAAAATTATAATTTAATATAAAATTGTATTTATCATTTTAATTATGATATGAAAATTATAATTACAATATTAAAATATTGATTTTATAATATGAAAATTATATTTTAATTATAAGTTTAAATTATAAGTTTAATTTGAATTTTATTTATTTTATTTTAATTTATTTTAATTTTTAATTTTAATTTTATTTTTATTTTATATCAAATTTAATTTAAAACACTAAAATTAACTAAGGAGAGATTGAAATATTTTTTAAAATTTAATCTAATTTTTTTTAAGTTTATATAGTAGAATGAAATATTTTTCCTTAAAACAACACTATATACCGGTTGAAATATATAGTAGATTGAAATAATTTTCTGTAAAAAAATTAAAATTATTATTTTAAGTGATATAAAATTTAATATGAATAAAATATTAACATATAACGTAAACTTGTGGGACCCAATATGAGTTCTTCAGAATTGCACCATTGGAGTGAAAAATTAGTTGAGTTGCTTCAAACTGATGTGGCTTAATAGGTTCCACAAAAAACCCAAAAATGAGTTCCCGGTTGGAGATGCTCTTATGTGACACATTGACTTGTAATCTACATTTTGTCCCTAAGAAATACTGCATTGAAAACAAAAATAATGTGAGTAATGAAAAGTCAAACTGTCTATTATTGTCAAAATTATGTAAGCATATTAGTGCAAGATTCTAGGTTGCAACATTCTTTGATAATTTGAGTGATGATGCCAATTCGCTTCACTTCCACTTGGCATAGAATTTTTCATCACCCCACATCAACATTCTATTCAATGGAATCCTAACACCTCTTTCCTTCAAATGCAAATGCCTTGGAGCAATCCTCTTCTCCAAACTAAACCCAAAATACTGAGGAAACTTCTTCAACTCCTCCAAATCCCTCTCCATTTCCTTCACCAAATACACAAATTTCGGCCACAAATTATTCTCGACGTCGTATCCCAATATCGCCGGCAACCTCGCGCACGCGTTATTCGCTTCCTCGTGAGAAAACCCCACCACCTCCTCCATGAATCTCACCCTTAGTAGAAGCTTCTCCAGGCGCGTGTTCAACAAATGCGCGTTTCGGTTAGTCGGCCGGTTTAATCCGCGGATACCGATTTCCCGGAGGAATTGGAGTGTTGGTTTTAGGATGTGGTTGGGATCGGTGAAGAGGAGGTTAGGGCACCGGAGGATGAGGCCGCGGGATTCGTCGACGGTGGCGAGGAGGTCGTTAGAGAGGAAGTTGAAGACGGGGGAGATTTCGTCGGGGTTGAAGGATGCGGAGAAGAGACGGGGAGAGTGGTGAACGAGACGGGGGATGTCGGCGTCGGAGAAGGAATGTGATTTGAGGAAATTGACGGTGGTGAGGATGTGGTCGACGGCGTCGGGGGGAGGGAGGTTGTGGGGTTTGGTGCTGGGGTCGATTATGGTTAGTGATTTTAGGTAACGGAGATTCTCACGGTGAGTTGTTCGGAACTTGATGTAACCGTTTCTGTTAGGGTTACGGTTAGGGATGAGAGGGTTTGATGAATGAGTTTGAGAATAAGAAGGGGTTTGGGGGTGGTGAAGATGGAGGTAGAACATTTTATTTGAGTTAGACTATATGCAAGTAAAAGAATTATGATGATGAAGAGTTAACACATAAGTAAAAGAAATGGTTGAGCAAAACATCATATCCATCAAATCCAATCCACACAATCATTATCATGATAACCTCATCCAATCCATCAAAACTTCATAAGTAAAGGAAAATTGAATAAGTTGTTGTAAAATGATATGATTTAATGGTCCACACAAAAAATTTAAAATTTAAAATATCTATACATAATTTGTAAAAACATTTGAATTTCAATCTAAATAACACCTGCGTCTATGAAACAAACCTCCTCTTATAATTGAAAGATTAAAAGAAACTAGAGTATATTGGAAAGCAAAGAAAATCTATAATAAATACAATGGTTGAAAGTGGTTGTAATGGTATGGACTCAAAGGGTCTAAACTAAGTAAAGATCGGATTGAACATGAAGAAAGTGTACATTGAAAAAAGAAAATAAAACTGGTTGCTTAGTTCAATATAAAGAGATTTTAATGAGAGTACTTCATCTATAAATTATCACAGGGTGTGGAGGCTACCCACTCTCATCCCAAAGAGTGAACATAACAACATATGTATTCTGAAAAATGATTTTAAAACTTTTTAATACAAAAAATTAGAGTTTAATATATAGAAGCTAAAACAAGATAGAGTAGAAGCATGAAATTTCATGTATTTTAACGTTATTACTAAAAGCATGATCAAACAAGAATTTAAATCAACTAAGATAATTCAAGCAATTTAATATCTCAATTTAGATATGTAGTTTATCACAATTGACTTAAGTATGATTCGATAGGTTTGATGTAATACAAACATGTACTTATATAATAAATTGTTACAAGCATGATCTAATCTAGATAACATACACATTATACTATGATTCAACTATTACATGATGCATGACGAAAATTAAAGAGATATAGAAAATGAAGAGAGTACGCAGAGATATATAATGATTCAATAATCATCCTCGTTATGCTTAGTTCACCTTTCAATGGTTTGAAACTATTAGGAAAAAAAATCAAATCTTCCACTATTTTCAAGAGTTAATATACAAGTAATTTGATGCAACGAATTATCATCAACCGAACGCTAATAGCCACACTGCATTAGCATACACACTGATGAAACGAAAATTCCTTCTGTTGGTGCAGATACTCAACTGCTACACAAGATCCTTAGTGATTTTGATCCAATAATCTTGCTATCCACGATAATCTGCTTTAAACTTCTTTTCCGCAACATTCTTCCCTCGAATCTGATGAAGACTTGTCTGAGCAATTGTCATTAGCCTCGAATAATTGGATAACTTCAAACTTTATTCTACAACAACCTTCACATGGTTTCACCAAAGTCTTCATTAGAGTATAGAGACACTCTTCTCTCTTTGTGAACAACGTACAACAAAAATCCATATCCAAGAAACAATTCTTCTAACTGATACACAAAAACACAACTTCAAAGAAAAAATATTAGATTCCCTAATGTACCTTTGGTCTACCTCTCATACTCAATCTTTAGAGTTATAGGTTCATAGCAATGGTTATTGACAAATGTTGAAGATGATAAATAATATCTGAAGAATTTCACACACACACACACAACTAACTCACAGGATCCATATTCTAGGAGGTTAATCACAAGGTATCAACAAGAAGTTAAATGTTGGTGAATGAAGAACACACACTAGGTTCTCTCAAAGTTCTTAAAGAAATGGATTTTTAGGTTGTTAGTGTTGTTCTAAGATTGATCAAATTTTATTACTTGATTGATCAATCATCTCACTTTCTCTGAGTTTCTTGTTCTTCACTAAGAAGAAATAACAAACATTCAAGAGAGGTGATTCCTCTCACTTTTTCTAAGATATTTTCATAAGTGACACATTCTCACTAGATGACAAAAAGGAAAGGAAAAAATAGTAAAAAAGTTGCAAGAGGTAGACACACTCTTACAAGATGCTACTCTCTAAAAAAACATACTAAGACAATTGATATTTATTAAATCATAAAGTAATGATTTAAATTAAAGAAACAATCAACTTAAATAAAAGGTTGGAAATAAAATAAAGAGGTCATGATTCAAATCATGTGTACTTCATGATTTGAATCACACTCTTCTTTGATTCGACTCAAATGAGGCATAGCCAAATCATAGCTTTTATGAGACTTCATGATTCGAGTCACACTTTATATGATTTGAATCATACATCCTGACATCCTTGATTCAAGTGTTATAACTTATGATTCGAGAAATACTCAATATATTGATATACAACCAAATGCAAGGCTAAAAAAGGAGACAAAACATGGACACAATAACTAATCTAATGAATCTAGAGGTTTCTCAAAAGTACAATACTAAATATAGCCGAAGCAAACGAATACGAATACAATATATTGTTTCAAATGAATTACAACAACATTGCAAATAAATTCATATAATAGATAAAATACAAACGCGCGATAAATCAAACAAAGTAAATATTATACACGCAAATTAATAAACCATCAAAATTAAAATGATATCGACGATGACTACAATTTCATTTTTCTATTTTACACATGTGAGAATTCATTCAATTCAGATACACACCATTATCTATCTCGTAATTGAAGTACGCTGACATGTAACACTTATTCTAATATAGTCTCAATGTATACTTCAATGAAAATAGAAAATGGGTTTCTAGGTTTTGGTGTTGTTTTAAGATTGATCAAATCTATTACTTGATTGATCAACCATTTCACTTTCTTTGGGTTTCTTGGTCTTCACCAAAAAGAAACAACAATCATTCAAGAGAGGTGATTTCTCACACTTTTTCTAAGATATTTTCATAGGTGACACACTCTCACTAGATGACAAAAAGAAAATAGAAAAATGAGTAAAAAGTCACAAGAGTTAGACACACTCTTAAAAGATGCTACTCTATGGAAAAAATACTAAGACAATGGGCATTTATCAAATAATAAAGTGATTATTTGAATAAAAAACAATCAACTTGAATCAAATGTTGAAAAAAAAAAGAGGTCATCATTTAAATCATGTGTACTTCATGATTCTAGTCAAGAGGAGTTGTGATTCGAATCACACTCTTCTTTTATTCGACTCAAATGAGACAGAGCCAGATCCTAGCGTTCATGAGACTTCATAATTCGAGTCACATTTTGTATAATTCGAATCATACATCCTTAAACTCTTCATTCAAGTGTTATAATTTGTAATTCAAGCAATAGTCAATATATTGATATACAACCAAATGCTAGGCTAAAAAAGGAGACAAAACATGGACATAACAAGTCATCCAATGAATTTAGAGATTTCTCAAAGGTACAAGACTAAATATAGCTGAAGCGAACAAATACGAATACAAGATATTATTTCAAATGAATTACAACAATGCAAATAAATTTAAATAATGGATAAAATACAAACACACGATAAATCAAACAAAGCAAATATTATACACACAAATTGGCAAACCATCAAACCTAAAACGTTATTGACGATAACTGCAATTTCATCTTTCCATTTTACACATGTGAGAATTCATCCAATTCAGATACACGACATTATCTATCTCATAACTCAGGTGCACTCGTGTGTAACGCTCATTCCAATATGGTCTCAACATATACTTCAATGAAAATAGCAATCAATTAGAGTGTCTACACGTTCAACATCTCTATAAATATGAGATTTGTCGTAAGTAATCTTAGGTATGATCACTCAATCCAACTCATTTTACTTGCTACATGTTCACATTTTATCTTATTTTAACATCAAATTATCTTTGCATGATTGCCATTTTCTGCCATTTGGAGAAGAATCAATGAGAATAAGGTACATAAATTATTAACATCAAGGCTTGTAGATCACAAAAGTACCCCCAACGATTCATCCTTTATGTTCACACACAAATATTGGGGCGCAACATAGATCCTTCAATATACTAAACCTCAAAATCTCATCAATATGATCACCATAAATTAAGCTCCTTTTAAGCCATCTCAAAAGAACTAAAAGTTTTAATGCTTTTCTTAGTTTATGGTGTTAGAGAGCTAAAACCCTAAACTAAAAAAACATTAGAACTAGATACATAAAATAATAAAAGACATTTGATTTCATTGATTTTTTTTGAAAATGAAATATTACATCTCAATATATAGAATTCTAAATATATCATAGTCATCTATGTGAAATAATATTAAAGATTAAAAAAGTTTTAGAATATAATATAACTAATATATTAAAATACTAATTAAAATATCTAATTAATAATTAACAAATACTCTCTATCATTGTCGTATGATTCACTTGAACCTTGTCTTCAAGATTTTAAGAAATTCTATATTTTTCAATATTTTAGAAAAAAAATAATGTTAATATGTGTTCTAGGGAGACCTGTTAAAAACTATAAATAAAAAAATTGTATTAAAAAAATAGCAAAATAACTAATTACAAACTTTTAATAAAATCAATACACAATTTTTATAAAAAAAATTATATATTTAATTCTTAACTTTTACACGAGCACAAGTTATCTTACCTTTTAAAAAACTCTAAATTACTTTCATTTTCAACCAATTATCAAAGATACTACTTATGACACAATGTAATTGAAAAACGTGTGGCCGCTTAATTTTTTAGGCGATATTGGTGCTCTAAAGTATTTTCTTTTTTTACTTGGAGTTGATTTTTAGTAGGTCATCACCGAAGTCATCATTTCTCTGATTTACTTTATAACCCTTATTTGTGTATAAACCAATACCAGATCAAAAGTTTTGTCATGCTTCAGAGATCTGCAATGATTTTGATTTTGCTTGAGCTGGTGGGGTTGTCGGTCTGAATCCTTGCTTGATGGAGCTATGGAGAGTGGATGCTGGAGTTTTTTTTTTTTCGGTTGTTACCTGATTGTTGCTTTTCTTGATAGTTTTTGTGCTTTTTCTATGGTTGTTTTCTTTTGTTTTCTTTTTGGTACTTCTTTGTTCTCATGTTTGTTGTTAGAGTGTCTCCCCCTTACTTTTAATATATATTGTATTTTGTCTTTAAAAAAAAGACTATGTTGAGATAAACATCTAACTGTTGAACTATAGTTGAATGACGTAGCTGATTTCTGCTGCGTTACTGTTTTACATGTCACATTTATCCTTATTGCTGGTCACATTTCATCATATGATGATCATTTTCATTATGATGAATATTCCAAAATATTAACTGTTCTGCATAAAAGAGAGAGACTAGACATTTGATTGCACTAAGCTTATCTTCGTAAGTGATTTCCACCAAATGTTACAAGCCATAGCACAAGTCCTCTTCCAGTTGCTAGAGAGAAACATTGATATTCACCACTATCACCCTGTCTGCCCAAAAGTTCACATTCTGGCCTAGTCTTTGCCTCTCTGGTATACTAGAACAGTCGATGACCATTTCAATTGGAGACATTTTGCTTGTATTTTCATCACGAATCCAAGTAGCTAAGCATAGCTCTTATAGATAATTAAAAGTTCAAAATTAATCAGCTATAATTTTAATGGGTCATTACAAAAGCAAAGCAAACATTGATCCATATAATGGTCAAGTGAATTCAGATGCTCTGTTGAATAGATCAGAACAAGATCGTTAAGTGGGTTACCATACTAAAGACTGAATAGCATGTATATAAAATAAACCACTACTATACTTAGAGCAAAATAGAGTAGTTAGAGTACTAGTGTTCAACAACTCAAACTTTATATGTTGTACTCAAAACAAAAACAAATATGCAGTATTTGAATACCTTCACAAACAAGATCAGCAGTTGTTACCAACTTTGGCGAACCTGCTTGATTATAATACTGCACTCTGTATTTGCCCATTAATGGACCTCAACGGAATACATAGGCAAACCACAACCATTACAATCTAATCATTTTGGCACCAAGCAGAGCAAACCTACATTTCTGACTCCCCTGGCAGTTTGTCAGCCAACAATACTTCTTCCAACCGGATTTAAACCTTCACTCTGCCTCCAAAACCTTGATGATATCATACACGGCTCACCTCATTCTTACTCAAATGTTAGGGTGAATGTTGAAATGGGGGAAGAATGAAAGTACGCGTAGCATCACATCAAGTACAATAACCTTCAAGTTAAAACTAGTCGATTGACGGATTAAGGGTTGATATCTATTGTGTGAGAAGTTTGTATGAGGGTACATCTTCCAGCCGTTCAAGGTCTTCAAGCAGTTCTTTCTCCAGCTGACGGCGTGTAGATTTCATCACTGTCTGTAACAACAATAAGTAATAGATATAAACATATAAGCAAATATAATCACCAGCATTCTTAAGAAACTACTTATTACAACTGCTTGTGCATAGTCTTCCCCTTTATCTACAAAATAAACTCACAACAAAGAATACATACATTAAAATCCATGTATGACGCGCGCATTGAAAGCCATTGATTATCCATCAGCTTGAATGTTATGCAATAGAGAAGATCAAAAGCTGACTCATTTTCTGCCATACATACATAAATGAGTTTAGTTACTTGAAACGAAGTTTACCTACCACTATATATCTAGTAAAACCTATAATGTTTGTAACACTTTTTTTAATACAATTTGTAAGATACAGTGATTTTTCACAAACCTATTACAAATGACACAACACTTATCAAGATCAGAATGTAATAAGCATACAAAATGAAAAAGGTGGAAGAAAAATTATCCATAGAAAAAGCTTCATAAAATCACAACAACTTTAGGGAGTACTTTTTGTAACATTTATCATTTTCCATTTTGTTAAGTTCCAAATTCACCGTTCCTCTTCCTAAATAAAACAAGTGAAATCAATAATTAACATTGCAGTCCATAAAGGTTACCTGCAAGGAATTTTATGAAAGTTGCTCCCACCAGTGTCCGTGGCTTAACTGTCAAGGCAAACAACATTAGTGGCAAATAACATCATATTCAAATTCAGTTCATTAATCAGGGAAGGCATCTTATGAATTCATGAAATATCACATCTGAAAATATTGTAAGGTCGATCATGAGCTAAATTTGGGATGGACCATGTTACATGAACCAAGAGATATCAAAATTTATTTGAACACACAAAGACCTGGCAAAATTTGTGGGGGGAAACTAACAAGAAACAACAAGTTTTATAATAAGGAAGATATTACATAAATGCTAATTGGTAGGCCTTATGTCATTTGATTTGAACCAACTTCTTCTATACATTCAAATAAAGTAAACAAATATTCCTGTACACACAGGCATCTCCCATGTATCCTTTTTATACATGATATATGCTGAGAGTAAAAACTATAGTAAAAGGAGAAACTGATCAACCTGCTTCCAGATCTAGCATTTGAATAAGCATAAATGTAATGTTAACACCGGCAACAGCAAATGGGTACTCCCACACTGAACGATCTCCTTCCTGCTTCCGTAAGAGATCTTGAAAAGATTTCTACAAAATGAAAAGTTTATGTTTTACAATAAAGGAATGTGAACTGCAAAGTCAAAATAGATTTAGCGTTTGAACTGGAAGTTCACGAGGGATTTAATCAAAACTAGATTAATAAAGACAAACCAGGAAAACAGGGGTCCAACAAAAATGAAAAGATGTAACTAGAAAAACTGAAAGATTATAGCCAATTCTCTGAATCTGAAACATAACTATCCACATTGAATAGACAACAATTCATCATAATTGCAACATGCAGTGTATTTCATGTTTAAACACCAGAAAACTGAAAATATGCAAGGTAACGCAGGACAAGAGCCCAAACAAAAAGGATAGACCATATTTTTGGAAATTATCTGCTGAGGAATCTAAAAATAAGTCATGTTATCGCAATTCACAATATGTATAGAGTCCATAATGCTTAGACACAGGCTTGGATTTTCAAAATCCAACCGATTGAAGAAATTGAGAAGAAAGAAAACGAGACCAATAAATTTCAAAATCATTAATGTTTCTAGTTCAGAATGAAACTAACGAATCTGGCCAAAATTCTTCTATCATGGAGGAAGTCTAAAACCTAGAAGAAATAATTTTATTCAGATCAGCAAGGAATTCAGCTAATTTGTTCCTACAGCAACCATCTAGCTAATCATGCATGAAACAAGTAAGACCTTTGGGATGAAATAGATAACAATCTATTGATTCCAAACAGATGACATTAAAGAAGAGGACACAGTCATTATTCAAATATATACAGATCTAACAACAAAATGTATACCTATTACCTACCCATGCTCATTAACTATTGGAAACAAAGTGGCACTTTCTTTTGGATGAAATACACTAATTTGGTTGCTTTATTAAGCTCTCTAGGCAGTCAGAAAAGGTTCATTCATATGGCTCCAAAATATTGATTACAACACCTAAATGAGGGAAGGGAAGGGAACAATAAAACAGGACATACCGGGAAATTTTTGGCAAAAAACAGCAAATTCTCTAATGAAATGTAACCACCACCCCTGCCAATGATATGTAGATATAGAAATCAGTAGTGACAAGAAATTAAAATGAAGACAAGAGATGAAATCAACAATAATAATATCTACCTAAAATCTGTTGATGGATCCTTCCCTTGCCATCCCATGTCTTTCCACTGCTCTGAAATCAAGCCCCTGAGCTCTTCTTCAGGAAATGCGGCATTCCATAAAGCCCTTAGGGATTCCTAAGATAATATATAAAAAACAGTTAATTATATTCTTAAGACTCTAAGAGATATAAGTCTGCACATATGATAATAAGTCATAAGTCGCACCTAAAACTATAGGCACACGACTTGAAGTCTTTGATGGACTTCATAATTATTGTCACATCACATCTCACAACACTTAGACTTGAAGTTTTTTAATAGAAATGGTACCTGGTGTTCGGGGATAGAACTATCATATGGAACATCTATACGACTCTGAAGCCTCTGCAGGCATTCTTCCTGAAAAAATGGAAAATTCAGCATTGCAAATTCATTGTGCCATACGTATCAATATTTAAATAAAGTATAATGGTATATTATATTGATCTCAGACGCCCTACATGACAAGCAAGGATAAAGAAAACGAAAAAATAAAACCCAACCATGTGAAACATAGATGTCATGATATAAATAATCCAAATTACAATTGAAAAACTCTGTTGTTGTTTGGCGAGACTGTAGATTTTTCAATATAAATGTACACTCAATATTGCATATAGTTGAAAAGATGCTTATGATGAAAAATCACAAAACTATAATTTGAGTGTGTTAATTTCTATGAAGATCGAAGAGTATTTAATATTTAATAGCTGCTTCAGTAATTTTAGTCACAGTATATATTACCTGCGATAGAGTTAATTCAAAAGACGGTCGAGCATCACTCTCTCTTCTCTGTGCACAAACACAAGACAAACCTCGGCCAAGCCATGCTGTTGATCCCGTCACAAGCTCAGCTGTAACAAAGTAAAACCACACATAAATAAAGATCCGAGTTTCCAAATTTCACAATACAAGTTTCTAGTAAATTGATAAACCAAAACCATCTATTAATAATCATTAATTAATTAATTATCCTCAGCATAAAGTACATGTTATTCAATTCATTTCAGTTTCCTAAAGCAATCAGTTTACATGAGCCACAGTAAGATAACACTCATTCATTACTCATATCATGTATCCATCACTAGATAAACAGTTTTATATGTCTAATAACTCATTACTGATATTCTTCCCAAACATGATCACAAAATATGACCACAGAGTAGAGTAATCATTATGCTAGCCACTTGCGTTATTTACAATTTTCTCACTATTTTTGTACTAAATCAGTTGACAACTTCAGCTTCCAACCAAATGAATATTAGTGCATTTCACAAGTGCTAGATCTACGCAATAACCTCATCACATAAAGTACTTTTTATATTTCAAGCATAGTAAAAAGCTTTTCGCACTAAAATTAACATAATACTCCATAGTAAACTAGCTCGATATAGATCTCAACTAAGCTCAAATCTATCCAATCAAAAGCTTATTCATATAATATAACCTAAAAAAAAACTATAAATCAGTGGAAGCATGAATTCACCAACGAACTCAATTACGAATAAGAAAACCGATAAATCGCGATGAAATTTAAAGTTTAAACATAAAATTTGTTACCAGAAGTTGAATGGCACGTGTTGCCTCTATCAAGACCTTGCGAAATTCTCCGAACAGCGACGAAAGAACCACCTCTATCATCCATTTTTGTTCTTCTATATACAACTAAAACAACAACAGCAACAACAACCACTGTTCCATCATCACCACCGCGCCACTTGGAACTGATAATCCACCACAGTGATGAACCGAAAGAAAGCGAAAATGTGAATCGAATCGAATGCGAAATGAGAGGAGCAAGAAACGGTTAGAGGGAGCAAGAAAGATCTGGAAAATTTTGCCGGGAAAGAAAAGAAGAAAAAGGAAAATGGAGAGAAAAGTTTTAAGAAGAGAAAGAGAAAGAATCTATATAGGGTTTATGCAAGATCTGTTTGCGAGAAGTCAGTTACGATAGAGAGACATGAGAATTTGTTTGTATAAAAAAGGCGTAACGCATCATTCGGCTTTTCTCGCCGTTAAGGCGTTTTGTTTTTCATGACAGACAGACTAGAGTGTAACTCGCCTGCGCTCCTTCACGCACACCACATTTTATTCATTAATTTTATTAAATAATTAAATAATATTAACAACACTATGAAAAGCCTTTGCAAAAATAAAACCTTTAGGTGTATATCGTTTTAATTAAGTTATTATGGTCCAATAAAATATATTAATGCATAAAATAAGGTAGCAGCATTTTTTGAATGAGAATAATGGATACATATTTTTGTCCAATAAAAAAACTGCTGCACAATTACATTAGTAATTTAATTAATATACACAATTAGTGTAAAGATATTTTTATATTGTTAGATGATCTCAACGACTGATTTATTTAAATATTTTAATTTTTTTAATTATTTAAAAAATAATATTTAATAGATAATTATGATGTATTGACGATATAAAATTTATTAAATTAATGCATAATAATTAATCTCTTATATTATATAATTAATTTGAATTTATTAAACATCCCGATTCAATTGCTCAGATATTAAAATAATTTTATTCTAATTCTTTTTATCAAATACTCTAATTGTTAATATATATATATATATATATATATATATATATATATATATATATATATATATATATATATATATATATATATATATATATATATATATATATATAATTTAATGAAATATATGATCAATTATTAAATATTAGGGTAAAATTATATTTTATTGATGATACATCTTTTAATTTCTTAATTATTTTTTTTATAATTTAACATAAATACCTAAAATGATTTTACTTTAATAATAAGATTTTAATTCGCATGATATAATAGAGATAAGATATGATAAGTTAAATAAAAATAAGATATAATAATTATATGATAATCTTATTTTATCATGTGTGTTTCATACACACATAATAAAATTTCATAGTTTGTCAATCCTTTTAACTATTTTAGATTTCTTCTTGCAACCTTCATGTGTGATACCTTTGGTTCACTCATGTATCTGCTCACTAACCCGACTGAGAAACCTATATCAGGTCGACTGTTGCATATATATCTCAGAGATCCGACAATTTGTTTGAACAAAGTGACATCAAATTTGTCTTCCTCTCCATGCTTATCTAGCTTCAAATTTGGTTTGACAGGTGAGGATGCAGGGTTCGAGTCTTTCATCATGAATCTCTTGATTATCTCTTTGATATACTTTTTTTGAGTAACACCATACCTTGTTTCGACATTTAAAATTCCATGCCTAAGAAGTACTACAACTTTCTCAGATCTGACATTTCAAATTCCTTATTTATCAGCTATTTGAACTTCAACAAGTTCTCTAAGCTATTTCAGTTACTGACAAGTCGTTCACATATAAGCAGATGATTGTTATATCTTGTGCCACAACCTGAACATAGACACCATACTCAAATTTACATTTGATGAATCCCAATTCGATCAAATATGAGTCGATCTTCTTGTTTCATGATTTAGGTGCTTATTTGAGGCCATATAGTGCTTTGTGAAGATAAGAAGAAGAAGAAGTGATATTAGGTTGATAAAAGCATTGTTTCCAATCTTCTCAGCATGCATCCTAACAGATATCTTCATCATAGTGTTCTTCCTCATAAGAACCACTAAATTCCTGAGAAATCTAAGCAGGATTGCTGGAAGCGCCAGCTTAACACCTTTCTTCAAAAAGAATAGCATGAACTTCTGAGTGGTGTTGATATAATCAGCTGAGTTGGTGCCAGGTATGTGATAGATGCAACCCAGGATAGTCTTGAACCATACCATCAAAGTACCAGTCAAATCTTTAGCACTAGGGTTCTTTCCATCATCAAATATTGTTCCTTATTTGAAGATGGTTGATGTTACCTTTACTTATCTCTTAGCATCATATTTGACATAAAATACCCTTTTCCCATTACCATTATGAGAAATCATATTTGTGATAGTATTCTCATTAATCACGATCTTCCTGTTGAAGATGTAGGAAGCGATTGTGTCTTTTCTAACCATAACATGAATCCAAAGTCGCTTGAGAATAACTGGGTAGACTGGACCTTTCAGTCTTTCAAAGAAGGCATTCCAACCTTGAAATTGAAAAGTTATAGTTAGGACAAGACCATTATCCTTGAGGTTCTTGAAATTCACTATGGTTTCACAGAGAACCATCAGTTCTTCTACCGGAGTGTTGACAGTGATTACATGAGTCTCTTCCATTTATGTGTTTTCTTCTATGACAGAGTGATAAGAAGGTTGTTGTTGTTGATTCTCAGCCATTGGTGAAGGTTGAAGGAAATGAACAGTTGCAGAGAGAGAGAGAGTGAAGGTTTAAAAGAGAGAAAGTGTGGGAATAATATGAGTGTAGTGTGAAATGTGAGTGAAATGGGTTTATATAAACGTTTTAGTAATGATTAATAACAATAAATGCACTAACATAGGGGAAGGCGTAAACATTCAACCTAGTTCCAAGAAATGTTAAACCTAAAGTGTCACGCCATTATCACGCATGCTCAGAAAGTGGGACAATTGTCACCACTAAGAGCCACACGATATCAAACAAAATGACAACCATTAAATATCGTAACTGTTCAAAATCAAGAAGAAAAATCAATAGGATTGCTTCTGATTATAACCTTTATGATTCATGAAACTTCCTCACTACAGAAAGCTCATATCTCAGAATCAAACAAACAAACAACAAATAAAATCTCAGAACCTAATCAAGAATTTTGAAGGCTTAACATTCTGATAACATCTTTTTCATTCTGGATTGAAGTCCACAACAAATTTTTCAGAATGAAAAATGAATCTATCCTCGTCAAGGTGTTTTGTAAAGATAAATCCACTAATGGTCTGCATAAACAAGTTTTAGATGAAAAATACCTTTCTGAACATAGTCACGTAAGAAATGATGTTTAATCTCAATATGTTTAGCCCTATAATACAAGATATGTTCTTGGATAAAAAAAATAGCAGAAGTATTATCACAAAGAACAGGAATGTTACTCTCAAAGATCTGATAATCTTCCAGCTGACTCTTCATCTAGAATATCTGAGTGATGCATCCAGAAGTTGCGATATACTCAGTTCAGTTTTTGAAAGTGCAATTATTAACCGTCTCGTGTTGGACCACGAGATCAGATTGTCTCCCAGAAATTTACAACTTCCAGAAGTACTTTTCCTTTCTATTCTGTATCTAGCATAGTCAGCGTCGCAATAACCTACTAATTTGTATTCACTTGATTTTCTATAAAATAAACCAAGGTTATTAGTACCTTTCAAATACTTAAAGATTCTCTTACCAATAGTTAAGTGAGTCTCCCTAGGATCTGATTGGAAGCGAGCACACAAACAAACGCTGAATAAAATATCACGTCTAGAACCAGTTAGATAAAGGAGAGAACCTATCATACCTCTTAATAACTTCTAATCTACCTTTCCACTTACCTCCTCCTTCTCCAGAATGCATGTAGGATGCATTGGAGTTTTTGCTTGCTTACATTCTGACAAGTTCAACTTCTTCAGAAGTTCTCTGGCATATTTGCTTTGGCGGATTACGCTCCTTCTGAATGTTGATCAATTTGAATCCCCAGAAAAAACTTGAGTTCTCCCATCAGACTCATTTCAAATTCTTCCTGCACTAACTTAGAGAAATTCTTGCACAACAAAGCATTAGCAGAACCAAATATTATATCATCAACATAAATTTACATAACCAGAATATCATTCTTAAAGGTTTTGCAAAACAATGTTGTGTCCACTTTCCTTCTGAAAAAAATCATTTTCCAAAAGGAAATTACTTAGTCTTTCATACCAAGCTTTGGGAGCTTGTTTCAAACCATATAACGACTTTTGAGTTTGAAAACAAAATTTGGGTTTTCAGAACTCTCAAAGCCAGAGGGTTGGTGTACATACACTTCTTCAGAATGTACTCATTCAAGAATGCACTCTTAACATCCATCTGATACATAATGATATTATGGTTTACTACAAATGAAACTAAAAGACGAATAAACTCTAACTTGGAAACTGGCGTAAAGGTTTTTTTATACTATATCCCCTCTTGCCGATTATAACCTCGTGCTACCAGTCGAGCCTTGTTTTTGACAACTTCACCTTTCTCATTGAGCTTGTTTCTGAACACCCATATGGTTCCAATGACATGGACACATTTCTGTTTCTGAACAAGATCCCAAACATCTTTTCTAGTAAATTGATTCAATTCCTCTTACATAGGCACAATCCATTTATTATCCATAAGAGCTTCATCAATAGATGTAGGCTATATCAAAGATACCAAACCTAGGAGAGTTTCTTCAGAAGGTTTGAACGAAGATCGAGTTCTCACTCATGCGTTTTTATCTCCCAGAATTAATTCTTCAGAATGAGAAGTTCTTGGTCTACTCTTCTTCTGATGAGATGGACCAACGATAACTTCTGGTTGAGTCGTTTTTTTATTCTTTTATTTTAGTGTTCTTATCGTTTCTTTCCGAGTCTTTATCTCCAAAATATTTATCCTTGGATTCTCAGAAAGTAATCTTCATATTTGCAAGTTTATCAACTAGCTTTGACTTTTCAAGGTCAAGCTTATCATTGAATCTAACATGAATTAATTCCTCAATAATTTGTGTTTC